ATTTGTTTCTTATTTTTCATTCTTAAATATTAAATTTTCATAAGTTTTCTAATTTTTAGTTTTTCTCTTTTCTTAGAAGTAATGTTACTTGGATATTGGACCTTATAAATTGATATCTGATATCTTATTTTTGTATTTCTTATTCCATTTTGAAGTGTGTCCCTTTTCTAAGATTTCTTTTTTAAACTTTTGATGTATCAAGAATTTTTTGTGTGTTTTTTTCCTTTTTCAAGCATGCTGTTCTTGTTATATGAATATAGTGTTCCCTTATCAGTCTTATATTTATAGGTTAAAAAATAATATTTTGTGTTTGGTTTTTGTTTTATGTTGGAAACATTTTTTAAAATCTGTTTAAACAATGATAACATTTATGATTATTATATGGTCATCACTCTGCTGTGAACTTTGTATAATCACAAATTCTTATAGCCATTTTATAAGATAGTTATTTCTCCTACTGTATTACTTTACTACGGCTAATGTAACCAATTACCACTAACCTGGTGACTTTAAACAAGAGAAGTGTGTGTTGTCACAGTTTTGGAGGTCAGAGTTCCAAAGTTTGTATCACTGGGTTAAAATCAAGGTGTCAACGTGGCTGAACATTTTAAGGAGGTTCTAAGAGAGGAATCCCTTCTTGGAAATGGTTTTTTTTTGTTGTTGTTGTTAAATAATTGACTTTGAGTAGATTATTCCACACATCTCTTGCTGAGAATGTTGGGATGCGAGTCTTTAATAATCCTGGCTATAGCATTTCGTCTATAAATTTGGGGAGGTTATACTGTTGAATATATAGAATGTTGTGGAATCACTTTATTCCCAACATAGACCTTACCTCTGCTTCCAGGCAGAGCTTGGGCACCCTATCTTCGAATCTGATGGGTCTAATTTCTCCAAAGTAAAGGATCTAACTTTCACACAGGTGAAGAGAACTTGTTGCTTAGCTGCTTAGCACAGTAAAGAAAGCACAGAGGGTGCCAAAAAATCTATATACTTTTTTTAAGAAAGGAAAAAACTGTGTTAAAATTATAATATTCACTATATATCAATAGCATTTATTATCTTGTGTGTTGTATCTTGTATCCCTTATAATTGCAGAAGTCAAGGGTGAGTTGAGTATTACAATTTT